TATATATATATATATATATATATATATATATATATATATATTTTGCCGTACAAAAAATAATATGACCAAGTAAATGTTTTACAAGGAAAGATACCAAAGGAACGACGCACGTGGATTTCTCAGAAATTCACTTTCACCGCGGACTTTCCTTTCCACCCAAATCGCGCAATCGTCCGAGACCACGTACACTCATACTTATGGATATACATATATATATTTCAATTTATTCCTTGTACTGTGTATGTATTTATGTTGGTACAACGCTGCTGGCCCTGTCCGAGACCGCGGCCAGGAGAATCCGTTAGGTTCCGCAATAATCTCGAGGTATGGCGCCACGACAAGAATGAAGAACGAAAAAAAAAGGAAAAAGAATGAAATTAATATTGTGATTCAATTGAAACGTCATCGGCTTGGGCTTCGGGATTTAAAATTATTTTTATAGCGGCAATAAAAATGAAAAATACAATTTTTCTGCGGTTTATCACTTAAAGCTTAAATGGATGTTAAATTTACCTGAGGCGCGCGATGGCAGAAATCTTCTTCCGTTAGAGATGCAAGTGTTTCGCCGTCGATGTTGAAACTGTCAAGGGGCACTGATGGCAGCTGTAATTGTCTTCGGGCCCACTGGACCCACGCAGCAACGTCAGCAGCACTCCAGCGACGAGGTTCTTTAAAATAATTTAATAATTTAACATTTTTTATTATTTTTTTTTTTTTAATATCGAGAGACAAGAGAAATTTTTAGTAGGCTGTTATTTATAATTTATAATAATTATTCTGGACTGGAGAGGAGAGAGTAGAGTAAAATTGAGTTTATGCTACCGATCACTGCACTAAAAAATTCCAGAATGTGTAACAAAAAATTAATTGCTTTTACATGATTTATTTTAATGGAAATTAACAAAAAAGGAAGTAGAATAATTGAATTTTTTGAAGAAATTAAGTCAAAATTTCGTAAAAAAATTTTCTGATATGGTCATTAGGGTGTGCCAAAATGTAACTTCCTTGATGGACCTCTTATAATTGGAATTTTGAGTTCCGCTTTTAATAGGAGTTGTGTTTGGGCATTTCCTGACAAATTTTGGGCGTAAAGGATTTATTTGATTTTTATAGAATTTTTTATCAAGAGTTTCGTTCGGCCATTTTTGCTGGAATTTCAAAATTTCAAAATTTAGCCGAACAAAACTCCTGTTAAAAAATTCTATAAAAATCAAATAAATCCTTTACGCTCAAAATATGACAGGAAATGCCCAAACACAACTCCTGTTAAAAGCGGAACTCAAAATTCCAATTTTAAAAGGTCCATCAAGGAAGATACATTTTGGCACACTCTAATGGTCATATCATAACATATCTCGCTTGATATAGCTTGATATGTCCTGATATGATAATATGCCTGTATATAATTTTTCAACTAAAGGTAGTGTTAAAAACCTCCGACGAAGGGCGCATGATCGTTGAATTATCTCCATGTAAGATAGTTAGTTTTGAAGTCTTAAGTCTTTAAATAAAAATGATTTTTTTGACTCTCTTAAGAAACTTATCCGACGTTGTCCATTTAACCCGTAGTGGTCATTATGGGTCTAGATGACCCGAGGCAATTTTTAAGTTGCTCTTGCTTCGAAGATATCATTCAAAATGGTATCTGTGGTACCATCTATTATTGTTTAAAGATGTTTTGAGATTCATGGAAATTTACGATTTCAATTGCACAAATCAATATACTTTTTGAAAACCTCGACGTGACACCACTTTTTTTTCTTCAAAGTATGCGATATTCGGAGTAGAACCCCGGAGGTCATTTTCATTTATGAAGTTTTTAGTAAAAAAAGTCAAATTTTTCGAAATTTTACTTTCTCGCATTCTTTTTTATAATTAAACAATTAAAAAAAAAATTACAAAACGATTAAGTTATTCAACGGGTGTTAAGAATTACTCTCATGTACGGCTCGAGTGAAAATATTGAAAAGAACGCAGATAGCAACAATTTTTTCCGTACATGGGGTCAACTAAACCCAGTATGACCACTACGTTATTTTTAAGAAGTGTGACCACTACGGGTTAATTTAATCACCTACTAAACCAATTTTTGTTCAATGCAACATGACAATTGAGGTTTCAATTTCTAAAAAAATTACAGGAAATTATTTTTTAACCCTCACATATAGTCTAATATAGTCATAAATTACCAAATCAAACCATATTAAGACACATATGGCCAGAAATAAAAATTAGCAACAACAAAAAATTTTTTCACGGGATAGAAAGAGCAGTCTTTACCCCTTCATTCTTTGCATATAAAATTAGTAAATAAACTAATGAAATGATAGTAGTTATTTATAGACAAGATGTGTAGTGTTACATTATATTAGATACCGGAAAAAAACATAAACTGGATGCCGAATACCAGGGCCACTTAACGACCTTGGGACGAGGCAACATCGAGGTTTCGTAACTGCTGCCAAGACACATGCCTTCGATGCCTCCATAACTTATTCCTCGGCGTGACATCATGCGAGTTGTGTGTTGTGTGTTGAGTATGTGGTTGTATGGTTGTATGGTTTAGACCAATAGTGAGAAACCGGTCGGGAGCTAAGCGACAACTAGCCTCAGGCGATTCCAGCCAGCTTACGTGTCGATTATGGATCGAGTACGTTTAGTTTTGTTGTGTTCCATACTACTAGTACATAGATTAAAGGTAAAAGGAGAAAGACTCAGAAATATGTTTTATATGCATAAGATTACCCGGGGCTAAATTAAACGCTCAAGTTGTATTACTGCTACTTATACTACTAAATATGCCGGCACTTAGGAGGGGAAATTGGACTTATTGTTTGAAAATTTCACGTCTTCGGCTGTGGGATTTTGAAGTTAAGGCTCTCGGGTTCACGACCATATGCTAATTTTTATGATTTTTGAAAGATTTAACTTCATTTTCAACGCCCTCAAGCAGAAATTCAATTTTTGTAGTTATAGAGTAAGAGGATTCGTGCAAAAAATTCAAGGTTTCAACTTCAAAGTAATAATTTGTCTGGAAATTTTTCTAATTTTCATAATTAGAGATTAATAAAATCCCATAAAAATAATTTATGTTAAAAATAGATGTTGAAATTTATAAAATATATTAGCAATAAATGAATAATATATCAAAATGTGTCAAAAAATATATTTTTAATAGATAACTTTTATTTTGGCAGATTTTTGTAGATATTCTATGTAATTTAACGATAACTAAAATAAATTAAAAATATATGGCAAATGCATACATAAAAATATATCGAAAATAAGATAAAAGGCCCCATTAACCCCTATTAGTGGCACTTTTTCTTTCAATGAAAAAATGTTCTACTTGGAATAAAAATTAAAAATTTTTTTGATCTAAAGGTCTTAAAGATTAGAAATAATATATTCATTATTGAAATTAATGAGTTTATTAATTGAATAAGTGTCAAAATCAAAGAAAGTGTCAGTAATGGGGTCCCCGCCACTAATGGGGTCTTTTACCCTATAATTATATATTTTTAAAAAACGGTAAAAAGTAAATTATTAAAAATATATTTTTTATCTGCATTTTGTATCGTTTTATATTATAATATTGTTCATTGATTTGTAATATATTGTTGATGAATACTTTTTATACTTCAAAATATATTTTTGATACCCATTTTTTTATATCTAAATTTTATAAACTTATCTCAACCGACTAAATTTCATAGAATAAAATTATCTTAACAAGAATCAAATTTTCTTGAGATAAGAAACTCAAATATATTAAGACTTGAATCCTTCACTTTGTTCCATTCTGTTCTTTATTAAATTTTAATTAACTCTATCGTTTGTTATATAATAGATCTAACTACCGATAAGACGGAATTTACCCAAACAACCTCAAAGGCCACTAGACCAAAACATAATTTTTAAAAGTTTTTTTCTCCAATCCCCAAAATGAACTTATTAACCATACCCAAAAAAACAATAAATGAATCAAATTCTAGACGCGTAAAAAACAAAGTTCACAATTTTCTAGCTAACAACTTTGACCTTGCTCATCAGATCATTATAATAAGGTCAACGTCTTAGTGTCTTTCGCCTCGGGTGTTTCCGGCTAATTATTTTTTGCTTCCTGCCCGTCAACATAAATCGCAAGCATCCTACAAATTAATTTAAATACCAAAAGCCTGACCAAAAAAATCCTTGAGTTAACTCACCAGGATGAATTCCAAGCGCGACGCAGGTGTTATCGAAATCTTTTTGAAGCTGCTGGATGGCGAGACTGAGGACGGGTTCGATCTGTTCACGAGCAAGATCACCAACACACTCGCTGTTCTCCATGTCTTCTACAAACCCCGTGCCGACGGTCCCCAAATCGACGGGTCTTAGGTTGTACTTCCTTTGAAAACTGGTGTCCCTCAGAACTTCGCGGAGCAATTGGTGGTCGCTCTTCTGGTCTTTGAGATTGAAGATTTCATCCTCCCGACTCAGCGGACTCGACAATTTTTGACTCGAGAAAGTATCCTCGTCTGTAATCTCAATCTTGGGAATTATCAGCGGAGTCTTATGTCGATTGTCGTCAATAGGATTCGTGTCTTGTTTGTTATCAGAAGAGAAGAGAAGACTGCGAAGTGACGAATTTTCCGGGTCTGGAGCTGGCGAGGGCTGTGAACTAATTGACGACTGGTGACTAATTGTTGGCTGAGGTGAGTTTGTTGACGTCGGTTCTTCCTTGAATAAAATTTCCTTCAACAATGGGTTGCTCGTTTCTTCGCGTTTTGGAAAGAAATCAGTATCCAGAGAATTGTAAATATCTTCTTCAGACCTTGGTGGCGTACATGGTACCGTGCAGTCTGTGGAATCTTCTTTGTAGCCAAGGCTCTCCGCTAAAAGTCTGCAATAAGTTGTTAACCATTAACCATTAATTAAAAATACTTTTTTGTTAAAGTAAAAAATATAATTACCTGGATTCTTGGAGGATGGTAAGCAAATCGAGACTTTTTTCTCGTTTAACAGGTGGCTTCACTGGTTGGCTTGGCTCTGGGCTGGTTGGGTACAAATGCGCGCTTTGTGGGCTCTGAGGTACGTAATAGGGACTACTGGGATAACCCGGTGACGCTTCGCGGGAGTAATTCGGTGACAAGGCACCGGTCAGCCCGGGATAAGGGGGGCTCGGGTATGTTGTAGGTGAGTCCGGTCTCGGAGATAGCACTTCTTGTTTTATTTGTATGGGCTTCAGTGTCATTTGACTGTGAGTGGTTGCTGATGAGTTGTAATCGTCCGGTAGCAATGACAAGTCAAATTGAAATGCTGTGTACTCGAATGAAGGCGAAAACCCAACAGCTGTTGGTACTGTTTGTGGCATCTGGAAAATGATTTTTATTTGATTAATTTTTAATATTCATTTTAATCCATTTTAATAAAATTCGAGTGATAAATTATGAAAATATTGTAATCGATCAAAATGTTCAAAAATATCTTTGACCCGTTTTTTTTACTGATTTTATGAAATGTGTTCGGAAGAAAATTCTAAAAATTGTTTAAAATTTATGTTTGATATATTTATCTAATAATCACATCACTTTTTACTGAAATTGAAAATTTTTTTCACAAAATATTTGGAAAAAATCAAAGCTTTGATTTATGTTTTTTTTTTTTTTTAATTTAGATATTTAAGATTATTTTAGAAATCTTAGTTTACTAACAACCACTACACTGAAAAAAAAAATTATTGAGTGTAAATTTTCTTGGCTCAAGAAAATATTAAGGAAGGTTGAAAATTTCTTGAATGAAATCAAAGTTTCTTGAACTAAGAAAATTTTCTTGAGCCAAGAAAATTTTTTCTTGCTCCAAAATAACTTTCGTTTTCCTTAAAATTTTCTTGGCGCAAGAAATTTGTTTTTTTGTGTGTAATATTTTTTAATTTTTTAGATATTGGTCATCGATAAGTGACTTTAATTTGATGTTTAGAAGTTTTGATTCAGTTAATTATTTTTTCTTTTTTGTTATAATTAAACAGCTGTTATTGAGTTTTCTTTTCAATAATATTATAAAGGAAGAAATCACGATTTTACTTCACGCTTTAAGTAAACTTCAAATTTAATTGAGCATGACAATAACAAGTTAGAGTTATATTCTACAATGTAAAGAGGAAATAATTGTAGTATTAATCAGTAAAAATTACATAAAATAGAATGTAAAAATGATTAAACCACTATATTGGTTAATTTCAAAATAAAAATAAACTTAAAACTACCTTAAAATTTACTAATCTTAAAAATATAAATTTGAAATTTGAAAAAAGTCTAAAATACAAATAACAAAAATATTTAACTTTTTTTATAAAATTCTGATTGGGCATTGCTACATTTTTCAAAAATTTTTTTAAATAATTTCAAATTTAAATTACATTTATCAATTTTCAGAAAGTTTGATTTAAGCTCATTATTTTTACTTCAGCCAAAAATAAGCTTGCAAGAACATGCAAAGAAACTGATTTTTTTGACTTGAGTGTAACAAAACTGTCCCCGAAAATTTAAATAAATTTCCACCGGAGGCAGAGATACCGGTTGGGTAAAGTTCTTACGCTCGCCCTTTTTGAATAATAATAAAATGAACCTGAAACTCCTCAGGCTGGGTTAGTGCACGAAAAGGACGCCAGGTAATTTTATCTAAAAATTACCAAAATTAATAAAAATTCCAGGGGCCTCGCCGGACGATCAATTAACGATCTAAATTAATGCGAATGGAAAATAAATCACGAAACGCTTACAGTCAGGATTAATATATAATTTATAATCAGAAATAATAAGTACCTAATTATAAATAGTACCTCAAATTATTTAATTAAATAGGAATGTAAATTGCAGGAAAAGATTCCGGGAATTAATTCACATAAAATAAATTATTATTAAATCGATAAATAAAAATAAATTATTTATTTATAAACGTTGTTACTTAAAACTAAATATCCTTTCTAAGTAACAAAATAAATCCTTTATGGAATTCTGATTAATACATATAACTTTTTCTTTAACTTAATTTATAATATTGCGTTCGAGAATAATAATAGTCGCAATGAAAACAATAATCATAATAATGATTAAAACTCAATACTATTCAATTTGTTCTGCGCTCGAAAATAGCACTTGCAGTAATAATAAATATTTAATATTAATAATTGTAAATAACGCTAAGCAATAACTGCTTTGATAACTAACGTCATTCGTAAACCAAACTAAAAATAATAATCGCAATAATGAACTATGACGTAATGTCTTAATTAAAAATTGCTGGCCGTATCGAGGACCTAACACGCGGCTTTCAGGACAGGTACAAATATTCCCAATAATAACCCTTACTCGCTACGGGATCGACCCGATTAATCGATAGTGAATTTAATTAAACAACAAAAATGAATTATCTGAGCCAGGAGACAGTGGTGTACGGATAACAAAATGGCTCAACTTGTGAGTACTCACCGAAAAAGGAAACTCAACCCAAGGCACCAAATCCACACTCCTTACAATAATGGAGGTCCCACGTGTCTTCCTCACACCAAGCGGGTCACCGCGTGTCTATTCAATCTAAATCTACGTCACCGTAAAACGTTCGAGGCTTCGTGTTCGACCACGAGGGCCTCTTTAGCCATTTTCCCAAATTTAATTACCCTTGCTCGCGATCGATATTGTCGGACTTCACCCGTGCGAGTAAAGGCTATAATTTATCAATTATAGCAAAATTAGGTATCATGACAATGATTTACAGTAATGTATACAAACAATAATAATAATAATGAATTACAAGCAATTCATAAGAAATATCTGAAATAAAAATTAAATTAATTCTTAAATTAATAATAATATTAAAAATTTCAAATATAAATAATAATAATAATAAACTTAATAAATAAATTAATAAATAAGTACAAAATAATAAAATTGAGACACTCATCGAGTGTGGATCTGTTGCCAAATTTTAGGCGCAGGGAGGGGCGCGCACAGGGAATAAAAACCCTGTGACACGAGTAATCAATTTTTCTTGAGTTTATAATTCAATTTTTAAATGCATTGATTGTGAAAAGAAAGCTTAAAAAAAATTAAAGATATCAATTATAATTTTCATCTACTCATCCGTCTAACAATATTAAGTATAATTGTAATTATCACTACTATTGATTTAAAGAACCATAGAAATAATAACAATAATTATATGATGATGATGATGATGATGATGATGATGAATATTTGTTAGGTATATAAAAGGCGTCGGATGGTAAAATGCGTTAACAATATCTGTCATCATTAAAATGAACCGAACGTTTCTCTAGCCAAGATCCCCGTGGGCAATTGCTGATGGTATACGGTCTACGTTCACCAAACAGTCCGAGGATTTTCACCAGGTTAGAGATGACTGTAAAGATGAACAAGAATAGAAAGAGAAAAAGAAAGAGAGAGAGATGCCGTAATATAAAGGCAGTTTATCTCGGCGCGTGTGTTTATTGCCCGTCGTGTGCTTGACCTCGCATCAGTTTGTTACGCTTTGTAAGCCCATTACAACGTTCCCAAGTGCATCTTGGCTACGCTGAGGCGGGGTCGTGCTCTGACAACTTGACGTAGTGCATATCCCAGAGGTCGCCAAGCGAAATAAATGATTATGCCTTTCTTTATTTATCCTGAATTATCCTTCTTTCATCTCTCTCTTTCTTTATCTTTTTCCCAATAGTTTTTTATTCTTCATATTTTCATTTAATAATTCTCTCGCTCGAACAACTTTAAAAGCTAACAAGACTTACTCACCGCGAAACACCCTTCGATTATCATCAAATTGAGAGATCTACATTGTTAAGTGACGTTGGATAAAGATATAATAAAACAAAAAATTTATATTTTTTATTTATTTATTTATTTATGTACTATAAATAATAAATAATGTGGATAATATTTTTCATTTTATTCTTATCTCTGTTTTACGAGCTGTAGGTTAAGCCTGGTCAAACGAGTGTGAAGCTTTTAATGCCAATAAACGAAAATACATGTGTGTATAACATATATAATAATAAAGTTAAGAGACAACTTGACGGAGTACATGCACAATTGATCGTATCGGCTAGGTGATGCTGTCTGCAGTTAAACTTATTGAGACGAAAAAATTTTGATGGAAATTTAAATTGAAAATTGTCTGCAAAAAATTTATAAACCTCTTTATTGCAAAGAAAATAATAGTTGGACAAAACTTTATAATATATTCCAAATACTCTTAAAATTTTTTTTACTTATTAAAAAAATTGAAAAAATTTTCTCAATTGAAATTTTAGAGAATTTTGAAAAATTTTTTTCAGCAATTCTTTAAAATATTATTATATTTTCTGAATTCTTTTAGTTTTATAGAATTTCAGATGATTTTGCTACATAAATTTACAAAATTTATGAACGTCATATAAAATTAAACTTAAGTACAAGTAAAAAACTTTTAAAATGTTAGATCGTTATTTGAAACGGAGGTATGCCTTATTTTTGATAATAAAAATATGTAACCAAAAAATTCATATTCCTAAATTTTTTTTTACTTTAATTTCTTTATTTTTCTATAGCAGATTGATGAAAAAATTAAACGACTGAAAAATAAAATTTAAACAACCATTTTAAGTAAGCAATCAGGAATTTCTATAAATCATTAAATTTTAATACAAAAAAAAAATAAAACAAATTTAAGAAAGAAAAATGATGTTATAATTTATTTTAAATCTAAAAATAAAGTAAAGTCTTCTTAAAAAAATAATTATCAAATGAATACTGAAAAAAAAATATTGTCTAAGGATTTCATACCTCAAGAATTTATTCAAGTGAATTATTTGAATTTCTTAATTTTTTAAGAAAAGAACATCAATATCTTCACTCGTTAAAATAGATAAACATATAGAAAAAAAATCAATTTTTGAGTGAAAAAAAAATTTTTTTGACCAAAATTTCTTAAGTAAAAAATATTTTGATCAAGTTTGACCAATTTTTCAAGTAATAAAATAAATTTTTAATAATTATCAAAAGTATACATTCTTGTGCCAATAAAATTTTTTCAAAAGAAGTATTTTTTTTTACTAATGTAAAATTTTATAAAATTAGAATTTTTATCTTGATGAAAAATTAAAAAAAATACGAAAAATTTTTCATAAGATTACATAGTATAAAAACATATCAACAAACATATGTAGACGTCTAATGTTAAATGTATAATGTATAGATAGGAGGATGTGACGGAGCATAATGGGTGAGTAAAATATATCACTCGAGTGTTTATATCTGGTAGGATAGTAAGTATAAGGGTTACGATGCTTGTTGGGTTAGCAAGGAGGTTTGTGTGCATTGATGGGAATTCACGCTGGTCTACTCTGAGTCTATGGTATAATGCTGTGATGTACACACTAAAGAGACCACAACACACCATGACATCCCGTGGGACTCGCTCACGGGGCGATGTTAACTGATAAAAATTAAGGCTACAAATTCAACCGATCACTCAATCATTCCGAGTGTATAGTAGTGCAGCAGATTTTATTGCTGACATGACAATAGAAAAAGGCCGAGGGTACTACGAGGATAAGACACTTTAAATGATATAATAAAAAAGGTTAGCTGAGGATATTGCGAAATCGATAAATAAAATAATATAATAAAACGGTCTGTGTGGGTGTGAATAATCGTTAAATTGTAAAATGTCGAGAATCGAGACGATGCCGAGACAAATATATACGAGTTGAGAGAGAAGAGAAAACGGAATCTGGATATACGTATCGCAAGAAAGTGGATAAGAAACTAACGGCGGCGGATGTGATGTAGGCAATTGAGAGATAGGATCCAGTGCTAAACTTGTATAACTAGACCGATCCAAAATGGCCGTTTTATGTGTGTGTGTGATATGTATATATGTAGATACAGATACCGATACTGATACAGATACAGATATGTGTGTGCTCACACGTCATTTGCTCAAGAGTCTATGGAGGACACTAATGTCCTGAGACAAGGTTCATCGAACTCTGACGAGCGTTCGAGTTCAAGGATCATGAGTTTGCTGATTTATATAAGCTCACGTGGGGAAATACGCCTGCTAATAGTCCATGTCTCACTTTTCCCAATTGTCCGTGACGTCACCACTCACGATTTATCTTGATGCAACACATTAGACTTACGCATTATTTTTTTCCAGAGTGAAATAATAACAACTTTCTGATTAGATGTTCCTCGTATTATTTCAAGTTAATATTAAGTATGATTATCATCGAACTTGGTTGGAATAAATTTCTCCGGATCTCTCAGGAATCCCGTTTTTTACAGTTAAATATTTTTAAGAAGTTATTTAAAGATTATCTTACTCGAATTACCTATCAAACAGTAATTGAAAGCTTAAGCTTATGATTCATGTTCTTGCAACATTTTTTTTCAAATGCGTCACGTTTAATTTTTGGGTTTTTTCTTTGGTAAATCAGCGATCGGTATGCAGTACACTTAATTCCTTTTTTTAACACTCTTTGTTATTCAATTGTAGATAAATATAATTAACGTCTATTTAGTACTTTTGGTTCGAGCAAACAGATTTGTGTTGAAAACTCTGGCGTCATAAAAATTTACGAAGAAGTGAGAGTGAAATTGATTTCTTTTCATTTTATAATTGGGTGTAATAACTATGTTTGATCTTGTCTTATGGAAAAATACTGTGTTCTCTTTTATTAATTGATTATGTCACTGAAAAACTCTGTTAAAAATGATTTTCTTTGAGAAAGTTTTGTCAAAAATTCTTCAAGGTAAACATTTTTTTTAACGACTTTTATTGAACGCTAATTAATCTTCTTACTATGTAATTTTTAAATATTTTTCAGAAAATTAATGCTGTATTGTTATTGTTAATCCGCGACATAAACATTTGAATTATTTATATATATATTACAATAGAAGAATTTATCTATGAAAAATTTTTTTTTTCTCAGTAAATTAATTTAAAAAAAAAACCTCATAATTTTTCAAATTTTTTACCTTTTTAGTAGATTTCATAAAAATCTAACTATTGTATTTGTCCTCATGACGTAATTTTCCGTTAATTTTACTATATTTCGACCTAACTCGACAATCTGAGTCAGAAAATACATATGGTTCAAAAGTTTATATATGTATGTATATATATATACGATATAACGCGGCTTGTCACGACGATA